TTATTATTTATATAATTAATATATTAAATTTTTATCTAGAATTTATGTTCAAAAAATCAAAAAAATAAACTAAATATACTAAAAATGAACGTGTATCATTTTAAGAATGAAATCTTAAATACAATATTTATCTAACGGAAATAATATATCTGAAGAAAGATGTTTATATGCTATATTGGTAATAGGTAAAAAATACATTTAAATTAGATCATTATAATAAATTTTTATTAAAAATACTAAAACAACTTAATTTTTAAAATAAGAATGAAATTGTTTTAGTCTATCGTAAAATAAATGTCATTTTTTTAATTTTTTTCTTCAAATTAAGAATTTAAGAACAATTTTTATGTTTATCTATCACTTCATCTCTTCATTTTTAGTAAATTTAGTTTGACTTCTTGACTTTTGAATATGAATTTTAAATAAAATTTTAATATATTATATAAATAATAATTAAAATTTTTTTATCAAATAAAAATACTTAACAAAAACTTCATATAGAAAAAAAAAAACTTTTCAATTGTTGTTTATAAAAATTGTTAGACTTTTATATGAAATTCATGTCTGAAAAATTAAAAATTCAAAAAGTTAAAATAAATTTATTAAAAACAAATAGAGGGAGCAACATTAAAAAAGAAGTACGAAAGATAAATACAAACCTTTTCTTATAGGATAAATAATTAAAGTAAATGGATAGCAATATAGATAAAGATAATAATTGGTATAGTTTTTAGTTTAACACATATATCAATATATTTTTTAGTTTAATACATCTATCAATACCCACTAGTTTAGTCATTAAATTTTTAAGCAAAATTTTTTTACCTTGAATTTAAATTTGAAAATAATAATTTGTTAATAAGTGTGTTATAAATATGTTAGATCAAAAAGTTCATTAATCACTATCTTATGGATAAACTAAGAAAAAATATTTGAAACTTCTTTGTTCAACTTTAGTAAACCTAATTTTTTATTCCAGATGTTTAAATTTAATTGTTTACTTTTCTTTTTTAGGAGATCATTTAATCAATTATTCCTATTTTACCCCCATTTTAAAAAGATAATTACAATATAGAGTAAATAAGAAATCTTATTTAAATAGTACTTAATTGGAGATAAATATAAAATTTTATTAATAAATTATTAAAATTCTATTTTATTAGACCAAAACAATTGAGTTTACTACAACTAAATGGAGTAGTTATTTTGGGTTAAAGAAAATACTCTCTCCGTTTAATTTTAGTAGACTTAATTTAATTTTTTAACTTTTCAGATATAAAATTTAGTTGCAAATTTACAACTTAGATGAACAATAATTGAAAATATTTTTTTCTCCTATATAAAGTTCTTGTCAAGTATTTTTATTTGATTAAAATATTTTCAATTATCATTTATCTAATTTGTTAAAATTTTATTTAAAATTTATATCTAAAAAATTAAAAAATCAATTAAGTTTATTAAAAATATACGAAAAAAGGAAATATATAAATTTTTTTAAAGAAATTATTATTCCTAAATAATAATATACTCCCTCCGTCCAAAGTCCAACCCAAGGAATAGTAATTTTTATGAAAATAGGATAATAAAAAAATTATAATTACTACATTTAACAACTATTTCAAACCAAGTCTGACAAAAAAACACGTGAGAGTAAACGATAATATAAATTGTTAACATTGTCAATGAAGATGGCACCGCAGCATCAATGTGGATATACTCCTTTCTTTTTCCCATTTTTCCCATTTTTTTTCTTTTTTTCTTTTTTAACATTGTAGATATACTATCTCTGTTATTCTTTTATTACCCTTCCCTCAATTTTTAAAAAATTAACCTTGTAATAACGTAGTACTAGGCGACATCTTGGCGCCTAGGTTTTGACTTTCCTAAACAAGGAGTGGGGCAGTCCGGCGAATTTTGTAGATGGGTATTTTAGGAGTTTGTGCACCCATTATATTATTTTACTAGAATGAAATATTATCAAGGAGTATTTATCTAACAGAAACAATATAATTACAAATGTAATGCAAAATATAATTTTATAAATGTAATGTAAAATGGTAATTTTAAAATAATAACAAATACTAAATAAGTGAATATATAATGTAAGTATCAAACAAAAAAAGGGTGGTTCTAAGGACATGTTTTAATGGTGCATTTATAGTATTTTTTATATTAATTAGTGTAAAAAAATAAAAATTAATTTTTATTTAAACACTATCTAATTAGAATAATTTATACAGTACTATTGATGAAATTAAAAATAATTTTGATATTTTCTAATATTAATTAATATAAAATATACAATAATTATATTTTAACCCATATCCTTAAAATAATTTAATAAAAAATATATTTTATAATAATATATTGTAATTTTAAATTTAAAATATCATGTAACACAATAAACTTAACACTTTTTTATGTAATATATATATAT